GCTGCTTTACGTTGGTTTTGGCAAGACAATAAAACAAGTGAAAACATTTTAGTTGATCAACTAGGGCAGAAAAACACACTACTTTAGATTTAGAATAATCGTTGGCACATTTTCCTTGATCCAACCAGAAAATTTTTGGTTTCAAATTTATATTAGACTTGGGTAGATGTGGGGAAAATATTTGCCATTAATAAATCAATTCGACCCAAATTTGAGTTACCACTGTTTCAATATTTGAGTATTTATATTTAGAAAAGATGAAATTAATTTTAATTCAATCAATAATCCTGCTTTGACGCCAATCTCTATGTAGGGTATAATATAAATTTGAATAATTCAAATTTAAAGAAAATATACTAAGGTTGCCAGATCATTAAGAAAAGTAATAAAATGTGTTTTTTTACTTATATTTAAAATTAACATTTAAAATTTCCTGTTAACTATCGTTATATTTTTGAAGAGGTAAAATGATAATTTGAAAAAATTCCCCCCAAATTACCCTAATCTTAGATCTGGCATCTCATAACTAAGTTGCACAATAAAATAAGACAATAATAATGATATTAAGAATTTAAGACGCTAAACAAAAAAAAAACTAACAAATGAAGGAATTTGAAAAAACACAAAAAAATACACAAATACAAGTCTAAAAGTTTAAATGGAAATAAAAATGTTAATTTATATGTTTCATATGATATCCAAGCTAGACTGACGTGCAAAACATAAGACTTTACTTTAACTTACTGCAACTTTAGCTCAACATTATAAATTATTAACCCTACACAGAGGGAAAAATAAATATACACGCCTGGTACCAAATTAACACCAAATTTTTCAATAACATCTGTTGTGAAGTATATTCATACATACAACCGTTGTCAACATTGCAACAATTCGTTGTCGCAATCTATATTTTATGCACATCCGTTGTCTAAAAGTTAACCAACGTGGTAAGCTCAAAATCCGTTGTCAATAGTGAGCTTGCCACGTTTGTTTAGATTGCGACAACGTTGCGTGGTCAACATTAGATGTTCTTGTATATACTTGACAACGGATGTTATTGAAAAATCTGATGTCAAATTGGTACCAGACTTGTATATTTTTTTCCCCGCTGTGTATAAAGAGATAAGTTAAACTAAAGCCAAATCTAAAAGTAAATTCTAAAATATAAATTAATAATAAGAAAAAACTTTATTTAATTTATATATGAATGATCAGACATGGATCGATCCAGACTTCAAAAAGAACACAAATTTTGGTTTGTTTGAATTCTCGAAAATATTTTACATATAAAATTTTTGGATTACAAGAAGAAATTTATCAACTGTTTACTTGAAAATTGGTTACATACAATATGTCGTTATAAATGTTTGATCATTTTATATCCTAAAGGCTACAAAGGGTTAAACATATACATATGTACATACGTATGTATGTAAGTATGCACGGATGAATGAAAGTTCATATATGCATATGTCTGTATATTTGTAGTCTTGTTATAATCCCATTTTAAACTGGGGACAACTAATACCACAATATTTTCTACTCTTTGGAAAAAAATTTTGATATGCGATGAGGTACTATTTAGTTAAATAATTAAGCAAAAAAAAATATTACAGAATTAATGCAACAGATAAGATACCAACAGAAATAAAAAAATATTAAAAAATGCATAAATGCAAAAAACAAACTAAATAAAAAAGAAACAACAAAATAATTAATATTAAATTAACACATTAAGTGAATGGTATATGTGCATACAAATATATGTACATACATATAGGTTCTGATTTCTTTCATATATTTTCCGCAAAACGATAACAACTAGGTCATTTTAATGAATAATAATTTCATGATAAATTATATTATGTTGTAACAAAAAAAAATACATTTATAATGAAAATATATAAAAAATAATTAAAAAACACTTGCTTACAATTAATTTGACACAAAGACTTGTTACATTGCACGTTTTGCCAATCGTTGTCTGACGTTCTTAAAAACAGTCTGTCTGTCTGTCTTGCAGTTCGTCATTGTTATTATTCATTGTCGCTGAGCTAAAGCAAAGTCATTGTCATTCATAGTGAAGTTTTGCAAAATAATAAAAAAAGTGATTCCCAAGAATGTCGTTCAGTTAAGTAACAGAACAATGACTGAAAATGTATGATTCAAATTTCATTTCAAGATTTATAGCAAAATAATTGGTAAATACATACACAATAGCTAACGAAACTATTAATATTTTGCGCAAGTAGTTAAAAAAAGGAAAAAACAATTGTTGAAATCAGGTTACCAACATGTTGATCCAATCATAAGGTTAATGTAACAACAGTATTGTAATCAAATTTCCTTTCACATCTATTTAAGGGATTAAGTAAGAATTCTCAAATCTTTTTTACTAAAATTCTGATGCAACTTGAGATGATATGACATGTGGGTTGCATGGAAAAAAAACTAGAGTAAAAATTCTCTCAAGAGATTTGTAACTTCCTTAATATGAACAATAGAAAAATAGGAAACAATACTTAGTTTCCCCAGATGGATTAGCTAGATAACACAAGAAACAGAATAGACTAGTAAGAATACAACATTTGCAAACCAAGGCAATCACATAAAATTGCACAGAAACACACATACAGATGCACTGCCATTGATCTAAATTTTTACTTGGAACTACCTGTATCTGTAACTCTCATTCTCACTGGAAATAATTTCAACTTGAATGCACTTTTTGTGAATTTTCATTATTATTACATATTTTGTTGTTGTTATTTTCGTATTTTTCACAATTTCTTATTTCTATTTCGTAAAACTCCTCAGGTTATGTTTTCGGTTTAGCTGGTGTGTGTGTGTGTATTTGTTTCATAATATCACCTGTCGTTAAATAAATGTTTTCTGATACCATAATGTTGTTGTGTTATGAAATGAAATTTTGTAACATAAAATGTTATACAAACACGAAATAAATATGTATGTATATATGTTTGTGTATTTATTGTAGTAAATAGATATTTTTTTGGGAACATCATAAAAATGCATTTATCGATGAAGCATAAAAATAAACAAACCGTATAGAAATAAAATAAATTGCTACTTACTATACTACCAAACGTTGTGATTCTTTCACACAAACTTTAAAAGTTGGGCACTAGATATAATATGCTTAGAATTCAATACCGGAGACAATAATGATAAACAAAGCAAAATTCAATAATTTGGTGAACTAGCAGACATTACATGATTACCCTACTAGGTTGCATTTAAAGAACTTAAATAAATTAGACTTAATAGTTACAATTTAATAGAAATTTATAAACAAACATGCCACACATTTAAATTGTCTCATTTAGCTCAGTTTTAATTGCACTTGATTTACGTGATCAGCCTTTAAAATTAAAAAATCAATTATGTAAATTAGAAATCTCTGCATTTGTATGTAGGGCCAATGTAGGGTATTTTAAATATGTTCAAAATTTGTTTGCTGCACAGCTAAAACTAAAAATATTTATATTAATGCTGTAAACAAAATAACATTGAATTTGATACAGAAATTGACTGTGGGAGAGTTGTTTCTTTCGTTTTCTTTCAATTTTGTTTTATTATATTTCTATGCAGTTTGTTTTTTTTTTTCTCAGTTGTATTTTCATAATACCCAACAAAATGATGTTGCAACTGAACCACAAAATTCAATGCATTTTAATGGAATCGTGTGAGATTTTTTAAGAAATATATTTATGAGATAATTTCCTATGTTCTCAAAATGAGTAAAAGAGCATAAAATTAAAAATTAAGAGAATATTTAAGAGAATTTTGTATCAGAAACTGACTCATTTCAAACATTACACTCAAATTTTAAAACTGGTTTTAAGTTTATTTTTCTCTTTTTCCCAAAGATTTAGAAATACCTCTCTCATTTAAATATTTATTATACAAAGATACTTTGGCTAAAAACAAAATATAAACATTTGCTCTCTAGAGCAATCAAACTCAATGAATTTTGTTTTTGTCCGGCTATGATAGAGATATTTGTATAACTATCTCTAAATATAAGATATTAATTTTAACTTGTTTAAATTTTTTACAAATTTAAGAAGTTTCAAAATAAACTAAATATCGTTTATGATGAAATTTTAACTCCTAACTAAAAACTGCTTCACTGCTATTTAGCTTTAGATAATGTAATATGACCCAGAATAAAAAAAACTATTTTATATCAAAATAAAAACGTATCTAATTACTCAATACTAAATCTGGTTTATTTAGATTTCATTCATTTCAGAGCAATTCAAAAGTTGCAAAAATTAGAGGAAAAAAAAATTGAAAGAGCCTAAATTTTTCATAAATAAATTATTTACAAATTCTCACAAACTTTGTATTTTTTACCTTATATTAACTCATTATACAGCAATTGTTTCCTCACTCTCTTAACTCAATTTAGTATTTTTTCACTCTATAACTCAATTCTTAATCATGGAATTTAGGCAAACCACCAAAGAAAATCTACTAGAAACTACTCAAGTCCATGGCAAACCCAACAAACCGGTCTTACTAGTGTCAATGCCTTGATGCACCAAAAGGTTTGAAGTTTTAGTTTTTGTTGCTTTTCGCACTGTAATCTTGCTTAACAAGGCAGTCAGGCAGCTAAACCAACATACTTTTACCACCACTTTAAATTTCCCAGTTGCTCTGTGTATGCAACAACATAAACTGCAAGTATCTGTGAGTTGAGGCTTCAGAGTGTGTGTGTGTGTCTGTTTGCCTGGCCAAATCATACAAAAACAAAAAACCCATGCCTGCATGCATGTTCAATGAGTGCTCAACAGCACCACCAAACAAAAACATCGAGAACAAGAAATCACTCAATTTGTTTGTTTGCCCGCTCTCCCAACGATCTCTGTGTGTTGTTTCATACTCGCAGTTGAAAATTTTATAATCACACAATTCCTTAGAGGACTGATGGCTACATTTTGAGAAATCAGTTAATGAGAAGATATCGAGTAGATCACACGTTTCAAAAATATAAACGGAACAATTTTTTTTGTTTTTCAAAAATTAAAATTTATTTTGAAAAAGATCTACTTAATTAAAAAACGAATTATTTTAAATAAAAAAAAAAAAAAATCATCACATAAAAAGTTACGTTCGTTACCTTCTATACTTTGGATTACGGTTACGGTTTGCGTTTCTTGTTCTTTTTAAAATTCAATTAAAAATAAAAAGAAAGAATATTTCAACAAGAGAATATAAACAAACGAATAAATATAATGAACGCTCTAAATAATAAATAGAGAAAAGTGTTTTATTACCACAATTCATTCACCTCAAACGAAATCAGTGAAATTTAATAACAAAACAAAAATACGAAAAATGAAGCAGTTAAAAAAACTTAAATTATAATCAGCAATACACGTAGAAATACAAAAAAAATCTATATTTCATTTCGAAATAAAAATTAAAAGAAATTTATCACAAGTTAAAAAAAAAATAAGTAAAAGTTTTATAAAAGTGCAAAAAGATGGTACTCATATCAAAAACCATCTTGTCAGTGCTAATCTCTTTCATAATACCGGTACTCGGTGCGGCCTTAAGTAAAACGGTGCTATATCAAGCTCCCGATGAGTGTCGTTGGTCCGGTTCAAATGAAAACGATATTACATTAGTTTGTCATTTGCGTACAATTAATTCGGAACTCGAAAATACCAACTTTAGTGTCATACAACCACAAAACACCATTCGTCTAAAACTCGAATGCAATGACGCGTTATTCTTCCAGAGCAGCCTGAGTCCAGACAGTTTTCGTTCTCTGGTAGAATTGCGTGCTCTTACCATTGAGTATTGCAAACTTGGCAATTTAACTGATGGTTCTTTTCGTGGCCTGCAAGATTTGCGCAATCTCACAATTCGCACCCACAATGGCGATTGGTCAACGATGTCTTTAGATATTTCACCATCCAGCTTTAGTGAATTTCGTCAACTCGATCGTTTGGATGTCAGTCTCAATAACATTTGGTTAATTCCAGATGGCATGATTTGCCCATTAAAAGTATTAAAACACCTGAACATCTCTCATAATGAGATCCAAGACATCGGCAACTTCCACTTCAGCGCATCACTTAGCACTCGCAAATCACGTATTTGTGGTTCATCTTTAAACAGCATCGATTTAAGTCACAACAAAATTGCTAATCTTCCCTCAGCCATATTCTCCGGTTTGGGTCGTTTGACTAACTTGAATTTGGCTCGAAATGGCATGAACTTTATCGCAGACCGTGCTTTTGAAGGTTTGGTTTCTCTGCAAGTTGTCGATTTGTCAGAAAATCGTTTAACATCCCTCCCACCAGAACTTTTCTCCGAAGCTAAGTTTGTTAAAGAAATCTACTTGAAAAACAACAGTATTAATGTGTTGGCTCCTGGTCTCTTCAGTGAATTGTCTGATTTGCTTGTTTTGGATTTGTCAGCAAACGAACTTAATTCACAGTGGGTCAATTCTGCTACCTTCATTGGACTTAAACGATTGGTACTCCTTGATCTCTCCGCGAATAAAATCAGCAAGTTGGAAGCCAACATTTTCCGTTCTCTGTCTAGTCTGCAAATACTCAAATTGGAGGAAAACTACATTGATCACATCCCAGATGGTGTCTTCACTGATCTAACCAACTTGCACACACTCATCTTGTCCTATAACCGCATCTCTGTCGTGGGCCAAAACACATTCCGTGGTTTGTATGGTATTTTGGCGCTCAGCTTGGATTACAATCGCATTTCGAAAATTGACACGCAAGCCTTTAAGAACTGCTCTAGCATAGAGGACCTACATCTTAATGGAAACAAGCTACAAAATATACCCGATGCTCTCTCTTATGTACCACTATTGAAGACACTAGATATGGGCGAAAATTTAATCACGAGCATTGAAAATACTTCCATAACAGTCATGGAAAACTTGTTCGGCTTGCGCCTCACTGAAAACTCCATTGACTACATCAGACGTGGTGTGTTTGATCGCATGACTTCATTGCAAATATTAAATTTGTCTGGCAACAAAATAAAAGGAATTGAAGCTGGTGCTTTGCAACGCAACACACATTTACAAGCCATTCGCTTGGATAGCAATCATTTGAAAAACATTGCGGGACTTTTCACTGACTTGCCAAACTTAGTTTGGCTTAACATGTCGGACAATCGCCTGGAGAAATTTGACTATTCACACATACCCACTGGCCTCAAATGGTTGGATGTGCGTGCCAATCGTATTACTCAATTGGGCAATTACTTTGAAATTGAGAATGAATTGAGTCTCACAACTTTTGACGCCAGCTCAAACTTGCTTAGTGAAATAACTGCCGGCTCTATCCCCAACAGCATCGAAGTTTTGTACTTGAATGACAATCTTATCAACAAAATTCAACCCTACACTTTCTTCAAGAAGCCCAACCTGACAAGAGTAGATTTAATACGCAACAAACTCACTACCTTGGAACCCAACGCCTTAAGACTATCTCCCATTCCTGAGGATCGCGACATACCAGAGTTCTTCATTGGCCACAATCCATTCCAATGCGACTGCAATCTTGATTGGCTACAGAAGGTTAACATTGAGTCACGCACTCAGCCCAAACTCATGGATTTAGATCAAATCTACTGCAAATTATCCTACGCACGCGGTAAAACACATGTACCTCTCATCGAAGCCAAATCCAGTGACTTCTTGTGCAAATACGAAACCCATTGCTTTGCGTTGTGCCACTGCTGTGACTTCTATGCTTGCGACTGCAAAATGGAATGCCCCGACAGATGTGCCTGCTACCACGACCAGTCATGGACTTCAAATGTTGTTGACTGTTCGCGTTCTGGCTACGATCGTGAGTTGCCTTCTCACATTCCCATGGATTCCACGCAATTATATTTGGATGGCAACAACTTCAAGGAACTCTCAAGTCATGCTTTTATTGGCCGCAAACGTTTGAAGGTTTTGCATTTAAATCACTCGCGCATTGAACTCGTGCAAAATCGTACATTCTATGGTTTGTTGGAATTGGAAGTGCTGCAGTTGAATCACAACAACTTGCGTCAATTGAATGGCAATGAATTCCAAGGTCTCGATAATTTACAAGAACTTTATCTTCAACATAATGCCATAGCTACCATAGATTCTTTGACATTTACGCATTTGTATCACTTGAAAATATTACGTCTAGATCATAATCTCATTACTGAATTTGCTGTGTGGAACTTTTTGCCTCCTTATCTCAATGAATTGCGTATGGCTGGCAATCCATGGACATGCAATTGTGCCTTCGTAGACAAGTTCCGTGACTATGTAAATCGCCATGAGTCGGTGCAAGACAAGTTAAAGTTAAGATGCTCTGCTCTATTGGGCAGCAATGGTACCGTGGGCATCAATGCAACCGCTCTCACGCAACAACCAACTGAACAATTTACATTGTATCTTAGCCCGGAAGTTGTGAAAGAAGGCAATATTAGATACTTGGCTTGTGGCGGTGTCTTGCAACAACATTTATTGGGAGTCACAGGCACCAATGGTGGCTTCCTTAATGGCGATATCAATGATAACATCATTATTAATGGTAACATGACCTCCACTAAAATGATTTTGTCACAGCCTCCTATGCATGATTATGTTCCCATTTTGGTGGCCATACTGACAGGGTTTGTTTTCGTCATCATTTGCACCATGCTGGTATTTATCTTCCGCCAAGAAATGAGAGTTTGGTGTCATTCACGCTTTGGCATACGTATATTCTACAACGGAAACAAAGATATGGACAAAAATGAACGAGAGAAATTATTTGACGCTTTCATTTCATACAGCTCAAAAGATGAGACATTTGTTACCGAAGAATTGGCTCCGTTATTAGAACAAGGCGATACTCGCTACAAATTGTGCTTACAAAATCGCGATTTTCCAGTTGGCGGCTACATGGCCGAATCTATTGTACAAGCTATCGACACTTCACGAAGAACCATCATGATTCTGTCAGAGAATTTCATCAAGTCAGAATGGTGTCGCTTTGAATTCAAATCTGCTCATCAATCGGTATTACGCGATAGAAGAAGACGTCTAATTGTCATTGTTTTGGGAGAAGTACCTCAAAAAGACTTAGATCCTGATCTAAGACTGTATTTGAAAACCAACGCCTACTTGCAATGGGGTGATAAGCTTTTCTGGGAAAAGTTACGTTTTGCTTTACCCGATGTACCCAACAACCAAAGAAGACCTCATGGTGTAGCAGGCCACTGCAGCGGAGTAGGTGTACATATGCCAATGGCACCTCATCATCATCATATGCAGACACATCATCTACATCACTTGCATCCTCAAGCTCAACTGCAGCAACACCATTTGCAGCATGCCAGTTTTCGTTCTCAAATGCATCACAACATCAATGGCAGCCGCCAAAATCACAACCGAAACAACACCAATCCTCAACAGCAGTCCACCATGCTAATGGGTCCTCCCTGCCAGCCTGGGCAACCACAACAACAACCAATGCCTCTGCCATTGCCACCCACCAACCAAAGCAGTAGTATTCAACACCAGAGTCTACCTTTGCCACCATGTCCCAGTCCCAGAAGTGCTACTACACAGTCGTCAGTAGGAGGTAATTCCTCCAATTCTGGACGGACAGTCGCTGTACATATTTAAGTAAGTGAGTGTTACTTAGGGTTGAGAATAGAAGAATTAGGCCAAATTTTGCCAAGTTAGAAAACAAAAAAAAGAAAAACGTTAATTCAACCGTAGTTTGGTTACTAGTGAAAATCCTTTCTAAAAATCGATTATTTTTCATTTTTTTTTTTTTGCTTCAACTGACATTGATCAGTCTAACTCATTGTTATTGTTGCATTAAGCTGCTATTACTTTGGCTGCTGTTGTTTGGTTTGGTCGCAGTCAATCATTTTAAATGACCATTTTGAATTTGTATCTCGTTAAAACAAGAGGTTTTTATTTAACTTCACGTTTTTATGATTTTCTTTATTTTTTTGTTATTTTCAAACAACAAAAGGCAACAACAAAGAAAAAACACGTTAATGGGGAACGGAAAACCTATTACAATAACAGGCTGATAAACATGAAACTGAAACAAACGATGAAGACAAACTGACAGTCAAACTGTCAGACAGACAGAAGTACAAACCAGTGAAGCAACCCAAACAGCAACAAACAAGATACACAAATTATGGAGGTAATGAAGGAGACTTAAAAATGAGGCAGCACAACAGAAAAAAAAAAATAAAAAATTGTAGTCATAAAGAACCTTTTGGCACAATGGCAATGCCAACAAGCGTAGCAAACGAGCCAAGATGCAAATGAGCAGTTTCTGCTACTGCGCCAACTTCTGCTGGCGACATTTGTTGCAAAAGCTTGTTGCGCTTTTGCGGTGAATTCATTGAGCTCGAAACGCGTTTGCTTGCCGTTGCAATTGCTGTGCTTTTTACTGGCTTGTTTTTATTAAACGGTTACAATGACTTCAAAAGTCAGCATAATTTTTTCTTTTTGCTGTTGTTGTGAGTTTCCTTTTCCACCTTGTAATGATTCAGAAAATTGATGTTGCATGCAACAACGAAAAAAAAACAGACAATTTCATTTATTATGCAAAAAGAGATACACACAGAGAGACGAAAGAGTAACAAAACAAAGAGAATAAAATAAACAAAACAAAAACCGGCAAAACACACAATCTTCTTGTAGACATGTTATGCATATTTTGCAACAGCAACAACAGCAAACACATTAAATTGCACGTCACTATGTTTTTTTATTTTATTGTTACTTTTTTGGTCTTTTGGCCAGACCAGGAACACCGAGGGTTAGACATACTTGTACGAATACATATAAAGCAACCAGACAGTTAAAGAAAATAAAACAAAAACAACAACTACAGGAATAAAACCTGACGTCTTGCCGATCACTAAATGGACAATGTTGGATTTGTATTTTTTTGGGTTTTTCTTTCCTCATTTTGGCCAAAACGAAATAACTATATGCAACAACTAAATTGAGGACAAGCAATGCAGAATTTTCGGTCTCTACAGTCGACAAACAACTGCTCGTCTACTTTTATATGTCTGTCTGCATGTAGTCATCATGCCGAGGCAACAACTACATCAACAGAAATTTTAAAAAAAAAGAAAATAGATTTCTTTCTTTTAGGCTAAAATTCAAAACAACGGAAATTTTTTACCTAACAAATTGCTACATTTGTTGCACTACCAAAACTACATGCAACAAAACCAAAAGAAAGGCAATCTAGTACATAATTCATTTCATTTCAAACCAAAAAACCGAAAAGGCTTTCTAAACGTTTCTCTTTTTTTTCATTTTCTTTCTACCACCAAATAAGAAAACATTTTTTGGCAAAAGATAAAAAAAATACAAAACTAGACGAATTGAAAACATTCCAAGTTAAAAAAGGTAAAAATTAAATAAATGTTAAAAATACTACAAGTACACAACAACACTCAAAAAGATTATGTTGTACAGATGCAAAACAAAACTAATTAAAATGTTAAAAAGAAAACTGTGGGTTTTTTTTTTTTGCAAAATTATATAAAAAATGTGATATAATATTAAATTTTAAGTAAACTGTTAACTTAACTACGTCCTGTATATTTAAAATAATAATAATAATAATAAAAACGATTAGTTGTAAGTTTTAGATAAGAACAATAATTAAAAATAATAATGTCCTCCCAGTCAGTAATTAATTCAATAAAAAAAACAATTACTCTTGTAAATAATATAGAAAATAAATTAAATGAATTAATTAGTTGGTACTTAAGAAATGAAAATCAACCACCTCTTTTATTGAAACTGATGCAAAACAGCCATATTTTTCTTATAAATCTAAAAAGTGAAAACACACACACACAGACAACTTTTTCTTAAAACTATTTACACTCGAAGAAAAAAAAAAACAAGTATAAAAAGTATTTACCATGTTAAATAGTGACTGATTATATTTATAAGTTTAAAAAATACAACAAAATTGTAAAATATTTTTTAAGTTTTTTTTTTTTTATTTTGTAAAATTTGTATTTTTGTATATAAATTTGTATGTATTTTATAAAACAAAAACTATCATTTAATTTTAATTAAAAATTTTATTTATTATTTTTATTGTTTTGTATTCTAGTTTCTAAGTAGTATTAATTTAATTATAGTTTGCAAATTATAGTCCTATAAATACAAAAACAAAAAAATGTTTAAACGACAAGATTTAAAAAAAAAATATCAAAAGACAATAAAAAATCCATATTAAATATATGAAAATTATTAAAAAACTAAATTCAATTTTTTGGTTTTTATTTGGGAATTTTTCATGAATTTAAGGGAAGAAATATTTTCTTTTTCAGATGCTGACAAAAATTTAAAAACAAATTAAAAAAAAAAAAATAGCAGAAAATTGGAATTTCGAAGTTAGATTATGATGTCTTGGAAGAATGACATTTTTTATTTAGAAACTTGTGACAACTGAATTGTTTTATTAGCAATAGTTATGAAATTCTTGTATCCAAGCAAATTTGAAAGCAAAATCAAATTAGCAATATATCAAATGAATATAATGTTATAGATAGCAATAGGTTAGGTCAGTTAAAGCCATTAGTCACCAACTCAGACAAGATTATATTTTAAAAAAATATATATACACATTTGTATATTTCATTAAATTAATAACAGCAACTTAAATAACTAGAATCACACCCCATTTTATTTGTTTTTGTATTTGGTATATGAATTCCGATAACTTTTACTAACAATAATTTGTTAAAAGTATGTCTTTTGTGTGTCAGAATGCATTTGTATAAATTGGGTGTACCTGGGGTTTTTTTATTATATTTTTTTTATATAAAAATAAAAATAAATATTAGGTAAAAATTAATGCTCAACGGGTGTAAACAAGAAACCGAACGTCTAACTGACATAACGCTAAAGAAAACAAAAGCCAACATCATGATTAATGTCTGGGTCTTCAGTTTTATGTTCTCTACTGGCCATGACTAAATAATTTCTATTTGGATCAACATTTCTTAGAACACAACCTTCACTCTTGCCCATAGATCACTATGGTGATTATTTTGAAGGTTAATTTAATTTGAAAATTGCTTGTGGCTTAAAACGTCGCCTGTACACAGGATGAAATGTACATGTTCTGTACAGGCTTGACTACACCTGTATTACCTAAACATAGTTTTTCACTAGTTAGTTTATTTGGCTTAGTAGGTAGGCGTGTTTGTTACAATTGCAAAAGTCATAAAATTCCAGCTGTCTTTTGATGTATCTGGTTGGCGTTCTTAACAAGATTTTGATCAAGGTTAATTTCTCTTCGTTAAGGATAATAAGCGGTTTGGCCTTTTGTAATTGATAACATGAAACGTTTGACAGTTTGTTATAATCTATTGCTCATAGATTTTGTTGAAGGTTATACATAGTTTGAGAAAAAAAAAAAAAATACCTCCAATATCTTAGATAAATTATTGCAACAAAGAGATTTCTTAACCCATATTTATACATTTTCTACGTGTTTAATATTGTATCGCATTTGTTTTTTTGGCTTTATTGTGTTTTATAGTTTTAGTCTTATTTTATCTTTTAGTTTGTATCTTAAACAGCCATGTTATGTTTGTTTATAGACAAAAAAAACTGATTTTAATTACTGATTTAGATCTTGTTTGAAAAGATCGTTAAAATATTTATGTTTTTTTCTTAGTCTAACAAAAACATTTAAGTATTCTGTACTGATTAATTGATAATAATTGGGGTATTTTTTTATTTTATTTAGAGTCCTTTTAACTACTCTTATAAGGCGAGATAAATACTTTCTCGAGACTTAGCATACTTTGCAGTAAAGGTTTATGATTTAGATCTTCTGATCTTAACTAATTGGATGTTCACAATAAAGCCAATTTACTTTCATTAAAAATCAGTATAACAATCGACTCAGAATCGCTTTCTGAGTCGATTTAGTTATATCCGCTTGTCCTTCCGTCTGAGTGTCCATGTAAACCTTGTGCGCACTCTACAGGTCGCAATTTTAAGATAATTGTCTTCTTTTGACCCAAGGGCGAAGCTTCTAGAAAATGGTTAAAATCAGACCATTATTTCGTATAGCCGCCATACAACCGCACCCCCCGAATAGGGCTTTTGAGCTCATAAATAAGTTAAAAGTTCTTCAAAAATAGGCAAAACTTAGCTTTATGTAAGTCTTAATGATACTGCTGATTTTCGTAATAATCGGGCCTCACTTGACCCTATCCTCCATACAAAGGTCCCCTTCAGAAAATGACTTGATGGTCAAAAATTCACTTATAAAAACTAATATCACGATAATATTCTGACTGATATAGACCTAACTTAAAAAAAGCCAAACCAACAAAAAACTACAACTTGCAAACTAAGCTTAAGACAATCATTAATTAACGGTTCAAAAATTTTCATAAGTTCTAACAATCGTTGTAGCCAAACACACCAGTCTGACCAGACTTCATTGAGAAAATTGAAAAGAAGCAAATTAATGAAATTTGACTACAGTTAATCACTGAAATATACAGAAATTGTGAATACCAGGAATGAAGCAACAGAATCAAATTAATGTGATTAAAGATAATAAACCAAAGCATACAAATCTACAAGAAAGAAAGTCAAGACAACCATGAAGTTTTGGAATGAATGAGTGAGTGACTGACTGACTGAATAAGTGACTGGTTACCAAACTAATAAAACATCTAATAAATGACAGTACATCAAACATTAATTAGAAATTAATGTGATATAATTAAAAATCAAACATAAAATTTGGCTTTAAATATCAACAAAGATAAACAACAAAAACCTAAAAAACCTAAAAAACGAAATTCATAAACAAAAAATTATAATCAACATTTAAATACCTAAGAAAATAACAGATGCTTATTAAGGTTTATTAACAAAAAAAAAAAAAAATAAAAAACCATCAGAAAAAGTCAACAACATTGAGCATCATCATTAAATTATACGACAACATCAGTTTACTGCTGTTGTTTTTGAATTTTTGATATCGAAAATTGTTAGTTACGAGTAGATTTGTAGTTTTTTTTTTTGGTTCACCCGACATGTTTGTCTGTCTTTCAAACTATATTTTTAGATTTTTATCCTAAACTAACAATCATGATTATTAACATCAATGTCATTTGTCTGTTGTGTTTTTAATGTTTTTATGTTGTTTGTTTATTTGTTGTATTTTAG